TGCCTTTGCTTGCCTGATCACCGCTAACTGCCCTCCCTTGCTGGCCTGATCTTGCCCCCAACTGCTCTCCTCTACTGGCCAATTGGTTCTTTTTGGTCAGTTTCTATGCCAGTCAGCATCAAAAGCTCTGTCTCCTAGGCAGCTATTGGATCCTCACACTTCACCCTGATTTGGTTCTGATTGGTTGGTTTCTATACCAGACAGCATCAAAAGCTCTGCCTTTTAGGCAGCCATTGGCTCCTCACACTTCACCCTGATTTGGTTCTGATTGGTTGGTTTCTATACCAGTCAGGGTCTCTGGGCCTATCAATGGGGCCTGATCAGAAAGGCGGGGCTGATCACAGCCCCTTGCAAGCCTGGAGAGAATTGGAGGTGCGGCTGCTGGAGAGAAAGAGAGAGGCAAGTACTGATAAACATCTGCCACAGAGGCTACGGATCAGACCCTACTTCTCTCTTCAGGCCTCTCTCTGGGCCTGATTCTCAACCCCTTCAGCTGTCAGTGCTGGGTTACCAGGACTGCAGCCACAGCAGTCAGTGCTGGGTCACCATGGCAACCCAGCACTGACTGCAGGACTACTTCTGGTTGGTTGAGCCTCCGGTCATGACAGACCCAGGGTTTTTATATATTAGGATAAGCAGATAGAGCTAAAATGGAATCTATGAAAACTTCTCTCCCTTTTACTTTGTATCATTTTATTAAAATTTCTGCATTTCATGTGTCACGTTTCATCTGAGAATCTTTAAAAATTTATAGTGGTAATATTGTATTTGGACAAAGTAAAATACTTGAATCTGACTTATAGTAGGTGCACATAAATGGCATTTTTTACATGAAATTTTTTTTCCTAATATGCTAGGTGACATTAAAGATATTGAAGGACTTGTAGCTTGGTGATTTTCTTTTAATAAATCATTTTTAGTATTGACTAATATTTTATTCGTAGCATACATGTCTACCTGCGCGGAAAGCAGTTGAAGCCACCCAAGTTTGTAGAACCAATAAAGACTGTAAAAGAGGCTCAAGTTCAAGTTTCTGCATAATCCCTTCTTTGGAAACTCACACCCGCTTAATAAAAGTGAAACACCCACCCCAAATCGATATGTTGTATGTAGGACATCCTCTGCACCTGCACTACACAGGTGAGTATTATGGTGGTAGATCCTCATAAAATCATTAAGATGCCATATTGCATTAGTTTTTGTTATAAATTTGCTCACTTTTCAAAGTCTTGTTAACTTGTTCTTATTTTTAATTTTAAAAAATTAAAATCAGTTACAGTTGACATACAACTTTATATTAGTTTCAGGTGTTGCTAACTTATTCTTAAGTATTAAATAAAATTTATAAAAGCAAGATGGAGCTGAATCCCATGTCTACCTTTGGAAAGTAATACATTTTTCCTTCTCTTCCACTTATGCCCAAGTCATAGAGCTGGTCCCTTAGATATTCTGTGAAAGTTTATTAAATTTTATCCAAGCACCCAAAAGTAGTGACAAGAGCAGCATACCCCAGAGAATGCCAGGGATCATAGAGATATGACAAAGTAATTTGTGCATGACACATGAATTTTATGTGAACATAATTTCAAAACTGGGCAGCATAATTATTTGAACAGTATAGAGCTTCTCCATGTGGCTGAAGATCCTATAGTCTAACTCCTTTTGTTGTCTAAGCTTTTTAGTGTTCCTTTTTTAAATAATTTACTGAAATATAATTTACATACCATATAATTCATGCTTTTAAAATATATATTTTTCTATTATTGACTTTAGAGAGGAAGGGAGAGAGAGAGAGAGAGAGAGAGAGAGAGAGAGAGAGAGAGAGAGAGAGAGAAAAACAATAGAGATGAGAGAGAGGGGAGAGAGAAACAATTGCCTCCCACATGCACCCCAATGTGGGGTTGAGCCTGCAGCCCGTGCATGTGCCCTGACCAGGAATTGAACCATGACCTCCTGGTTCATAGATGGAGGCTCAACCACTAAGCCATGCTGGCCAGGCCAATTCATGCTTTTAAAGTATACAATTTAGTAGCTTTTAATATATTCAGAATTGTGCAACCATCACCAAAAATCTAGTTCCAGAATATTTTCACCTCAAAAAGGAACCCCATTCCCATTAAGCAATCACTCCTCATTTTTCCCCAATATCCCCCAGCCTTTGGCAATGACTAATCTAATTTCTCTGTCTATAAATTTGCGTGTTCTTTGAGTTTCACATAAATGGAATATTTTGTGACCAGCTTCTTTCACTTAGCATAATGTTTTCAAGGTTCATCAATGTCCAGTACATCATTTTTATGGCCAAATAATATTCCATTGTATGGGCATAACACATTTTCTTTATTCATTAATCAGTTGATGGGCATGTGGGTTTTATGTTACTCTTTAAAAGGCTCTCATTGCATCATAGTCATATCTTGAGGTACAACCTGAATCATTCTTATTAATGCAGAAGTGTATACTGTAGGTTCTACTTAATTACAAGAAAGTTTTTAAATATTTTGAACAAAAACAGGATTCTGGAATCCACAGAGTAGAAGAGACCTTAAAAATTCTCTAGTCTTAATCCTTCTTTCAGCAATGAAGAAAAAACCAAGACCAAAAAGGTTAAGTAGCCTAATAGTTGTAGTGAATGTAACTTTAAGGTTATACCTGTTTGAAAGGGTAAGGACTTTTGATGTAAATTCTGTATTTATTAAATCAGTTTGTGCTTGGTATTCATATTTGGTATATAGTTAACTTTATCTTATTCTCACCTCAAAATATAAGTGCATATTGGGGCATGATTTTCTGTATTCCAGTATTTTTATTAGATGTTCTTAGAATAATTGATTGTTTTCATATGTGGTACAAAGCCTGTCTCATATGTTTGGAAAAGGCTTTCTCAACCAATTTAATAGGCTAGCCCAATTTTTTATTATATGGTAAAATTTATAATGCTGTTGTTTATATGAATAATATGCATTATTCCTTTTTTTTTCTTTTAGTGAGCATCACCAGTTTTATCCCACGTTTTAACTTTCTAAGCATAGATCTGCCTGTGGTTGTGGAGACATTTGTCAAGTATCCTTTCCGGTGTGAAAATGTTTTAAAAATGTGTTATGTGAAACTTGATCTTTCTTACCTTAAATAGACATTCATAAACCTTACAGATATCAATTAATTACTAACAACTAAAAAAGAGACTTTAAGTTGAAAAACATCAACTTAGGAGGGAAGAAGTCAGAGGGAGGGGAGAGATTGAAAGGGAAAAGGAAGTTTAAGGGCACAAAAGGAAAGGAACCCAGAATACAAATTGAGAGTTGAATTATAAAGGATGAAAACTGCAGTTACTAGTGAGGTAATGAATTCTGCCTTTTCCGGGCCTGCTAGCTCTACATAAGGGAGAGAAGACTCGTTTCCACTGCTAAAATAGGATTCAGAAGACAAAAATCTCTTGTGTTCTTTAGCATATTATGTTTGCATATACAAGGTGAACTTTTTTTAAAAAAAATATTATTATGTAGAATTTGAATAAACTGAACAGTTTGGAGGGTTTCCTTTTGCCACTTTCAATTTTTTTTTAATTCCTTTCCTCAGTGATTTGGGAAACAATGAAATGGAAAACAAATGAGCAGTTACTAAAAAATGTGTACAATAAAGATTGTATCTTTCTTTTTTTGATTTTTTAAAATATATTTTATTGATTTTTCACAGAGAGGAAGGGAGAGAGATAGAGAGCTAGAAACATCGATCAGCTGCCTCCTGCACATCCCCCACTGGGGATGTGCCCGCAACCCAGGTACATGCCCTCGACCGGAATCGAACCTGGGACCCTTTAGTCCCCAGGCTGACGCTCTATCCACTGAACCAAACCGGTTAGGGCAAGATTGTATCTTGTAGATTGCAGCTTTATCTCAGGGATTTGCACTATAAACATATAGATGATAGTAAAATAGAGTTATATTTACATTATAGTTACATTTATGCTATAACCTTATAGATGATGGTAAAATAGCGTTCAAGGGGCCAAAACCTTTGTTTCCTAATGGAAGATAATGCTTATAAGGGTCAAAAAATAATTTTATTTCTTATTTCTTCCAAATTCCTTTCCTTGTTGTATCATTAAAGAATTAAAAGACTTAGTCTTTCCTAGAGTTCATTATAGAGTATCTTAGTTTACAAATGGTTGGCCTTTAGTTTTCTAGTTAAGGTTTTTGAACTTAAAAATAATATGTTATTTGTTTTAAATAGTAGAGATCCAAAAAGGAATGGCCTGTACTGGTAGGCACCGATTCAGAGAAAGGAGGGAAGTCACCTGTCATCTTGAATCCAGTCCTAGTAAAGTATCTTCTCCTGAATCCTAGAAATGGGATTTCCACTCAGACCTCACAATCGGCTCCTTAACTGATTTTAACCAGGTACCTGATTTCTCTCTCAGGAGCTCTGGCTATTGTTAATGCAGTGCCCTGCTTTGCTTTGGATGGACAGTGGATTTTAAACTCGTTCCTGGATGCTACTCTTACCTCAGTGATTGGAGACAATGATGTGAAAGATCTGATAGGATTTTTCATCTTGCTTGGTGGCAGTATACTTTTGGCTGCCAACGTGACTCTGGGGCTCTGGATGGTTACAGCACGGTAATGTTGGCACTCATGTGACAGAATCTGTGAGTTACAATATACAATACTGAAAACCAGTACTTGGTTTGAAATATAAAATGTTCCCTTAAAATTACATTTTAGCCAACAACTTTTAAGCTCCTCCTATAGCCAGAGTATCCAAATGCTAGGATGGGGATAAACAGAAGAAACGCAAGGTATAGTCCTTGACTACATGCTAGTTTCAAAGACTGAATTTACAATCTGCAGATGCTTGTGGAACAATTTCTCAACAAGCGCAGATTCTTGTTAAACCGTTTTTGTGTGACTTCGTATTGTCTCAGTAGTTTAAAAGGAGAACAGAATTTGGTAAAATTAGTTGGGGGAAACTTCTTGAAAAACCATCATTAATCCATTTTTGAAGGAGACCAGACTTTGGCCAAGTGGAAGGGAAGCATTTTCTCAGCCTGTACCTCTTGTCCTTTGTCTTGTTTGAAATGTATTTTAAAATTTAATGGTGTATTGTTTTATCTTCTGATAACTGAGGTCTGATTACAATTAATAAAGTTTTATAAAAAAATCTGCTGACCCAAAAGGGGAAATCTTTGTCAAATGATGCCAAATAATTGAACAAAGTAAGAAGTAGGGCCTATAATACCTTGAAACAGGTTTTGCCCCACAAGTTACCTCTTTGCTAATGTATCCCCGTTCCCTCACAGCAGCACTTGGCCTTGACATTTAGAATCAGCTGCAGGAAGTGTCTCCCACTTGCAGCACGTGAGCTGGAGCAGTTAGGGTTGAACCTCAGAACTAAGCTGGGTCATTCGACAGATCACAAGCCACACCACAGGACCTCTGCGGTCCTGATTACCACTCTCTGCAGAGAGCTTCACAGCTTGGAACCCTTCCAGGGTAGACCTTTTTTCTTACGCTGCTGGGGCTATTTGAGTCCTAGCTCCCAGGTTCCTGTCTTCGAGAAGCAACTGCCTTAAGCTCTGAGCTATGCTCTGTCCTCACCAGCAGCTCCCACGTTTCTCTGTGTTGGGCAATAAAAGATCTAGTCCTGGCCTTCCATCTTTCCCCCGAGCTACCTCACTGGGTCCACAGAACACTTGGTAGCACAGTGAGAATGGCTTCACATGAGTACCAACGTGGATTTGCCAGAGCCTGGGAACCTACTCTTGTGCCGAAAAAGCCCCGCCTAGTTCAGAGGTGTATGAGCATGCTGTACTTTGATGACAAATATGTCCTTTCCTCATACACTCAGGAACACTAACAGACATGTATCTAATTTCTTCAGTAAGTGAGGTATTCCATGGGGTTCACCTTTTTCAGATTAATGAGTTGCTGTTCAGGTTCTGTTTGTTACGCAATCATTCAGGATCAAAGTGTATTAGCAGGGTAATGTTCAGACCTGTTCAGGTAGAACTTGGGGAATACCATGAAATACTTGCATAATTAATTTGAATACGTGAGCTAAGTGATTTACTAATGAAAATGTATATGTGCAGGTCAGCTTTTTAAAAACTGAGGAAAAATTTTAATAGAAAAAAATCCTTCCCATTAATTTTGTTTTCTGGGTGAAAAAAATCTCCAACCACATTATTTTCTTGTAGCTTTTAAACACCTTGGTCTGTTGCTCCATAGGGTCAGGATTTGGGAATTGCGCAGATCAGTCCTATTTGTATACAAATGGCCTCATCCTGTAAGAAAGGAAAGAAATGTTACGTGTTGTCTCTTCAGCTTGATTGTGGGCACTTCTAGAGCAAGGACCATGTCATACTCCTCTTTGCATCCCTGACACAGTGCATGAGACATCATAAATACTTAATAAATATGGTTGAATGGGTGATAATTAGTGTTATTTATGGATTAGGGAAGCATGTATCTATTTAAGTAAGCTATAAAAACTATTGACTATTTACTGTAAATATATGTTAACATAAAAAATAACTCGGAAGGTCTGTGTGTCCCTGGAAGATTATCATCTCTATGAAAATAATCCATTTTGATTTCTGTAGAGCAATTAGAAAAATTGAATTATTTTGAGGCTTTGAAGAAAGTGTTCGTTTTGTGTTGTCATTTTGTTCAGTGAAATTTTATTTTCAGTGTTCCTACTCTGCATTGTTTACATTTTTGAGGATTTAAAAAAATCACCTACGATCTGTAAAGAATGTATATATTTCTTTCAGCATCTCAGTTTGAAAAGACATGCAGTTAAACTTGACCTTTTGATAATCACTCTTGTAGGTCATTGTCTGTTCTAATAGTAAATTGTAAACTTGTACTTCATGGATATGTAGCTCTCAGTCATCAGTTTGTCCTATGGTATTTATTGAATGTCCATATACTAATGGTGCACAGAGATTTTCTTCTCTAAATCTTTTGACTGTGTTGTAATTCATTCATAGGATTTAACTTGAAGATACCATAGTTGCTGGCATTTGATGTTTAGCAATAAAAGAATAAATGTGTACCAGCAGTCTATATTTTATCATCATCTGTGTGTTGTCTTTTTAAAAATATTTGTATTCTTTTCTGTCAAAATGGTTTCTTTTACATATAGAACGATCTTAGCTGTTGTGTTTTTTTTATTTTTAGAGAGAGGAAAGGAGAGAGAAAGAAACATGGATCAGTTGCCTCCTACATGTACCCCAACCAGGCATTGAACTTACAACCTAGGTATGTGCCCTGACTGGGAATCAAACCTACCACCTTTTGGTGTATGGGATGTCTCTCCAACCAAATGCACCATACTGGCCAGAGCTGATCTTAGTTGTTTTCAAATTCTTTTTTTTAATTTATTTTATTTGTTAATCCTCACCTGAGAATATTTTTTTCAACTGTTTTTTTAGAGAGAGTGGAAGGGAAGGAGGGAAAAACATCGATGAGAGAGCCACATTGATTGGTTGCCTCCTTGCACGTCCTCCGACTGGGCTGGGATTGAACCTGCAACCCAGGTATGCGCCCTTGACCAGGAATTGAACCCAAGACCCTTTGGTGCGTGAGCTGACACTCTAACCACTGGGAAACACTAGCCAGGGTTTGAGTCTAAAAGCAGCCTTCAGTTTTTACTCAAGTGATCTGTATGTGAAACTCCTTGCTGGCATGGAAGGAAGTCTTTAAAATAAGATTTTTATGCTCTCACTACTGTTTTGGAAATGGCCTGTTTATGGATGAAGAAAGAGGACTATTATCATGTTTCCTTGTATTGTTGCCCGGCTGGCATGGCTCAGTAGTTGAGTGTCAACTTATGAACCAGGAGGTCACAGTCTTCTTTAAATTAGTCTATATTTTTAGGAATGCATGAAAGGAAAGTGCTTCAACTGTGACATTTGGTTCTTCTTGACCTTTTGTCCTCGTGCTTCCTCCCTTGTCTGCAGAGCCCACCCCTCTCCCATACTCCCATATGTACACACACATACACCCATGCATGCACACATTCTCTTTCTAGGTTATTAAGGGCCAAATAAAATAGGCTGAAAATTTAACCCAATTCCTGATTGGTTAGCCTTATTCTCCTCCTCCTCCTTGCCTCTGATCCCATTGTACCACACTGGCCAGGGCTGATCTTAGTTGTTTTTACATTTTTTGTTTAATTTATTGTATTTGAGCAACATGACTAGGTGACTGGTTATCTAAGCCACCTTTTTTATTAGCAGCTTTATTGAGATAAAATTAAATACCATAATGTTCACCTGTTTAAAGTTTGCAATTCAGTGTAAACTATTTTTCTTTTAATGACTATGCTTTAGTATAATTGAATCTTTATTTTTTTTAAATTGTTTTATTGATTTTTTTTACAGAGAGGAAGGGAGAAAGAGAGAGTTAGAAACATCATGAGAGAGAAACATCGACTAGCTGCCTCCTGCACACCCCCTACTGGGGTTGGGCCCGCAACCAAGATACATGCTCTTGAACGGAATCGAACCTGGGACCCTTCAGTCCACAGGCTGATGTTCTATCCACTGAGCCAAACAGGTTAGGGCTAATTGAACCTTTAAATGAACATGTGATAAGACTGGAAAGAAAATTGTTTCTGTGATGTCACAGCTATCTCAACTTTGAAGTAATTTTAAGCACTAGCATAGAGTGGAATAACAAATTTCTTTTTTTTAAATCTGGAGTTGTTTTTTAATATATTTTTATTGATTTCAGAGAGGAAGGGAAAGGGAGAGATAGAAACATCAATGATAAGAGAGAATCATTGATTGGCTGCCTCCTGCATGCCCCCTACTCGGGATTGAGCCCGCAACCCAGGCATGTGCCCTGACCGGGAATCCAACTGTGACCTTCTGGTTCGTAAGTCGACACTCAACTACTGAGCCATGCCAGCCAGGCAACAAATTTATTTTTAAGGTGAAGTATGTGATATACTTTGAGACAATAAGCCTTTTAATCAGTGCATTTGAAAGCTACTCTTCCTGTTTAGGACATACTAATTTGAATAATCCATGGTATATTTTATCAGACCGTGGCAAATTAATTGAATGAAAGGAAAGCCTGTATTTCAGAACCTAATGCTACAATAGATTATACTCAGGGTGGAGGTAGAAAAAAATGACTAAGGGAAGTTGCAATTTCTAGTTAGCAAGCAGGTAATATTGTGTGTATAATTTAATTTCCCATTAAAGAGAGATGAAAACATCCTTTTACCTTAGTTTTATGTAGCTAAAGATTGACAGGTATTCAATAATTGTCCCTGCTTATTAACTGTTTCTCAAATTTTCCTACTGAAGTGTTCCTGACACTGTAGAGGAGGGAAAACCCACAAGGGACTAAGAGAAGTATCCTGCAATTGGCTCTCCATCCTACAAAATTGAAGTCTCACTTTATTTTATTATTTTTAAAAATATTTTATTGCTTTCAGAGAGAAAGGGAGAGGGAGAGATAGAAACATCAATGATGAGAGAGAATAATTGATTGGCTGCCTCCTGCACGACCCCCTCTGGGGATCGAGCCTACAACCCAGGTATGTGCCGTGACTGGGAATTGAACCGTGACCTCCTGGTTTGTAGGTTGACACTCAACCACTGAGCCATACTGGCCAGGTAGGTCTCATTTTTTAAAAAATATATTTTATTGATTTTTTTAC